AATTATGTCATAACACCAGCGAATCCGTCAAAATTATCAATTGGTTGATTTTAATGTAAAATATGTACTTTAAAAACATTATTAGAGAAATACAACAGTTTTATAATTCTGTTTTGTTTCATCTATTACTGTGTTGTGCGCTCGTATAGAAGTAAAATCGGTCTCTGCAACAAAGTGCATGTTTCATGTTTTGCCACAGTATTTAAAAAGCAATTACATCTAGAAGTTCTAAGTGATTTGTTTATACGTTTTAACATTTATACATTTTCATGTTTCAAAGCACGTCAGTGAGTAAAATTCTTGGCTTCAATGCAACTTTGAATTTCAACGAAATCCGATATCTCTATATGTTTGTTGAAAATATGACGGAGATTTGAGAATAAAAACATGGATACTCACTGAGAATTCAGAACTTTTCGTTAACTTCATGAAAAAATATGTGTAGGATGGATAAATAGTGAGGTTTTCCGTATTATAATGTGTATTCTGTGTACCCTTGATGTACAGAGCAAGCACCATATACAAAAGGGAAATGGATATTTTAAATAGTACTAATATCACGGAATTGCATTAGAAAATAAAACATAACACTTCGTATCCTTTGGCCTGAAGCACCATGGACATAAATACATAAGAGTAAATTGCACAAGCTGCTGAAAAGGTGAAGTTTCACTTATAACATCAAAAACAAGCTGTACGCATGTGTTATCGATAACCAATTGTTCATCAATCTCAAGTTAGTAATTTAGACACTGACACTTTTTTAAATCAGTTTGGAATAATCGGAATTCAAACTTCATTCTTATTTTTTCCTTTTTTCAAGCGCTTGTGTCTATGTGGGTGGTATTAGTGATGCCATTTCCTCCTGAAGACAAATTTCTAGGATCTTTAAATGTTCTGAACCCGCTGTTGATTAAGTACCAAGACGTTGAATTAACTTTCAGAAGACCAGACACTTTCTAAAAATAACAACACCTATCCAATAATGCAGACAAAACGAAAGCACTGTGCCAACGGTCTGGAATTACACTGACCTAAATTCAAACAAACCACAACTATTACAGTTAACGTGATTGCCTATATTAAAGACGACAGACGATAATAATATGATGTTTACGTATTAATTTGGCATCTACAGACAATACGGGTCTTTATTAATAAAAACAATAAGGATTAAATTAATTATCGTAGTAGGCCCCCCGAAAACAAAGCAGCGAACAATGCTGAACCTAATTGCCCCCGAACAATACCTTTGTTGGCGGTGCGGACGAAATAAGATTAACAAGTCAATAATACTGCTAAAATAAACTCGGAATATTTTAAAAATACATGATTGATGGACGTAGGCTGCAGACGCAGCTTTTCGATGATGCACGCAGTGTCGCTCGAAGCCATATATTCCGAACGGATTTAATTTGTCACAATGGCACAGGTGCAAAAATACATTTTATATGTGACACACAATGATCGTGACTCATTCCATATAAATTCGAAACATATGGTTGGCTTTCTATTCTTCCCTTTTATATACATCTTGTTTGGATCGAGGTTCTAGATTGAGATAAATCAGTTTAACCTCGTTTACTTGCTAAAGATGTGCGACCAAGACACCATACCACAGCCTGCCTTTTTTAACGTCTATGTTATATGGTATTTTATGTAAACTGTTACAATTCTTTCAAACTAAGCCAGTTGTGTCATATGTTAGACATTGCTAAGCAAGATTAATAATATTCCATTACTTCTTAATTCAAAATGAATAGATCGAAAATTGTATTCAACTAGAATATACATGGATTGATGCGTTGTTTGAAAATATTATAATCAACGGTTTTTTTTTTTATTGAATCAAAGAAGGGAGAATTTCCTTAATTTTTGTTACAAAATTCATAATTTAAATCCTGCCCAAATAATGGCATGGGATATAGACTGAACAGTGTTGCTGTGACAATAATTTTTTTTCCTAAAACAACCGTTAAGGATTTTACAATTTGCTTTAAGAATTGGACAGTTTTAATCAATTAGGTACTTAAGATTATTATTAAATACACCCGATTTGGTACAGTCTAGTTTCCCCATCGAAGAATCGTACTGTTTAAGGATCATAACGGTGTTCTTCAATTATATTTAAATTCCAATCTACTTAAACTTTAAGTTATACTAATTATTATCTCTATTCATCATCATATTGTCATGGTGTTTTTGATTTTCATTAGTGAACGGTGTAATTTAAGAAAAAAAGTCTATGTGCAAAATTTGGTTGGAAATAGTTTTTGCTAATCTGTAAAAGAAAATTGTGACATCAGACCTTTTTTTGACAGTTGAATTGAACTGACGTTGCTTGAAGATTAATTGTTTGAACTTTCTATCTTTGGTTAACTATTTAATTGTTTGAAAACTGTATTTTAGATTCCATCTTTGAAGGATCATAAGAACAAGATCTATTTTGGAAGTAAATTTCCTTGCTTTTTTGCTTCTTTTATCACAACATTGTTTATACAGGGTGTTTTACAAGCTCTTTGTCGAACTTTGACAGATGGTAGCCGGAATATTTTCACATTTTTTTTGTATATGAACATAGGTCCAATTCGTACTTGTTAGAAGTTACAAGTATTTTAAAAAATATTATTTCATATTATATCTAATTATTTGTGTTAAAGTTTAAACATTAGTTAACCTTTATTAATCAAATTAACAAATCTTAAGATTATAAAAATTGTTCAAAATGTCCACCCTCGACTTGAATGCAAGCCTCACATTGAAGAACTCAATATTCCGTCACTTAATTCTTTCAAGTAACTGCTGACGGGCAGTAATTACAACATAATAGATAAGCTGCTTCATATGTCCCGATAAATAAAATTCTAAAGGATTTAGATCTGGGGAACGAGATGGCCATGCTATTGGAACTTGTTGACCTATCCATTCGGGAAATCATTAACCAAGCAGTTAATTGTCTTCCTCTATGTGGTGGCGCACCATCGTGCTAGTATAGTCTTTCCGAAGTCAGTTGAACTTGTAAAAAAACGCCTGGCAATAAAATTTAATGAGTTTCATAGGCGTCCCTAAAAAAGTTTTCTGCTAAAGATAAAAAATTATAATAATTTGTACATAATGTGTAGAAATTTTTTATTATGTGTTCATTTGGCCAACAACATATTTTAATTATTTATGTCCTCAAACAATTTTATTACATTGATGGTAAATTTGGTTTTGTTCCGTTTCAAAAGGTCTCCAAAATGCCATGTAATAATATTATTTCTCCCTTTCGCAACTGTAATATCAATGATTAATAGAAGGTGCCTATAATAAATTAAAATTACCTGAATCACATCAAATTCCGCATTGCTGCACCGTTCTGCCTGGCAATTTGTGAACCACTTGCCGAGTTGCTGCGTCAGCGACCGAACCTGGTATATAGGTACTGTCAACCTATTGGTTCTTCAACTGATATCGGAAGGACTATACCACGTATTTTGAACAATATTAAGCCTTACGTCATCAATGAAATCAAAAAAGTTGTTTTCCAAGAAAGTTCTATACAGATTGCATTTAAACGATCATTTAAAACACATACAGCAAGTAAATTAAACGTGAAATAGATAAGTGTGAGTTTATATTACCAATGGGAATATAAAAAGTTTTCAACTCTCACAATCCTTTGTTGTAAAATTAATTACATACGACGACTAGTTTCGAGGTCAAAATTACACCTCATCATCAGGTCATACAAGACTAAAAATTTTTTTTTAATATAATAACTTAAATAACAATTAATTAGTACTTTAAAACTAAGCGTCAAATGAATAAACAAAATGACACAAGTAAAAGTTATTGTTACAACAACCATAATTTTTATTTATCAGGCAATTTTTGAATTTCATGGCGTCATTGGCAATAAATGATTTTATTGTAAATACAAAATTTGATATGAGACATTAAAATTGTTGCTAAACATTAGCTAATTAAGTGCCAATCGAACGAGATTAATGGATTCAAACTGCCGGATCGAGTTTCTGTCGGATAGGACCATGGATTAAGGAATTACCATCTGGATTATCAAGACATCCATTCGTGCGTAACGTCACTTTCGAAGTGAAATCAGTGAAATTAAATAGATATAAAATGTATATCGTTTCGTAGCTAAAGTACATAATGGAGGTTTATTATGAAATCTACTATGAAAAAAATCAGTGGGAATGTGGAAGATCCTCGGGATCGTCCAGACTAATAATTAGTTAATTTGTTTATAAGGCCATAACTTGTAAACTATTCAACTTACCGATTCCAGATTTCGTGTGAGTTATTAGACAGTGATAAGGAATGAGAGGATGCGATACCAAAACGTTCTGGTAATAATAACGCAGTTTATAAATGTTTAATTCAAAAGTCATGAATAAACTTCTTCTGTTTATAACTTTTGATCTAATCAATATTTTTTGACGCTCGAGGGCTAGTTTTGTAGGTCTTTTGAAGACGAAAAAAAAGTACATTACTGTTTTCTCGTGGAAACGAACGGAAAAAGTTATAAGCGAAAAACGTGAATTTACGTAAAAATTATACAATTAACCACTCTGTAAACAATCTTTCCCCCATTTTTATGAGTGTGGAAACTAATATGTTATTGTACATAATATTTAGCATCTATAGTGACAAATTCAGCTTGCCGAAACAAAAAGTTGCGTCCAACTATATATTTCCTGGCCTATATAATTTAATTCAATTCAATAAAAGTGTAATAATATAATTTTTAATGGAAAATTCATTTATTTGTATTCTATCTTTTACGAGGAATTGAATTTCGGATGTATTAATACATCAAGTTTCATTGTGGAATCTATCAAGTTTTTTTATTAACGACCACAACTGATCAGGCAGATTTGCTTAACTAGAGTTCGTTCATGCCGAAATATTTTGTAGGGTTCTTCCGCAAAAGATATAATTTATAAATGACTACTACTTCCGGTATATTTATGTGCTAAAAAAAAACAAACACTTACCGGCCTCAAAATTCTCCTTCAGCCTCCTCCACTGCCTGGCCTGGTGCAAGGAATAGAGGGTGATAACTAGAAAAAACAATATACACGCGAATACCGCCGAGGTGAGGGCCACCGCCTGCCAGTCCCACACGAGAGTCTCTGCACTCGAAAACGGGGCCTCCGAGCTGGCGACCTCCAAGGCGACCGCTTGCTGGTCCTCCGCGTTACCACCCCTGACGATGTCGCTCCCGTACCTCCAAACCACGTCGTCGTTGTGCTCCCTGCGCTGGTGGTGTTTGTTGTTGTGCTTGTGCCGATGGGGGTTGCCGGTGTCCATGGTCTTAAGTAACTTGCTGATCGGCCCGCAGTGGGTGTCCCTGTGGAACTCACACGGTCTCAGGACGACCGTGCCGTTCTTGCAGTCCGTGCAGTTCATGCATACTTGCAGTTTGGAGTTTAAGTATTGTCCGTCGGGGCAAATCGAGGCCGATACTAGGTACGCGAGACTCGAGAATACCAGGAAGGATGTATAGGCTGACACCATCACCTGAAACAACACAATGGTGATGATTGATGATTTTTGTAGCCCCTTAAAGAATACAGGGCATCCCGCGTAACACGGATAGCTCTAGTAATATTAGCAATACAGAAAAATATTTCAAAGAAAAGCTCCCATTTCTTCTGCTCCTTATCTAACTTAATTTTTTAATGGAACACTGTATATTATTGCGTTTTTGAATTTCTAGTTAAATTTATCATCTATTTTGCCGTTGCAGCGTTGTTTTACAGAGAAAAATGCTGTACTTATTCAGTATACTTAAGTTCTTATCCACTATACTTAAGTTCAGTATACTTACTTAAGTTCAATATACTTCAGTTCAGTATACTTAAGTTGAGTTCAGTATACTTAAGTTCAGCTCAGTATACTTAAGTCCTCAGTATACTTACTTAACTTCAGTATACTTAAGTTCAGTTAAGTATACTTAAGTTTTTATCCAGTCTACTTAAGTTCAGTTAAATATACTTAAGTTCAGTTAAGTTTACTTAAGTTTTTATCCAGTATACTTAAGTTCAATATATTTAGCTTCAGTATACTTAAGTTCAGTTAAATATACTTAAATTTTTAACCACTATACTTAAGTTCAGTATACTTACCTAAGTTCAATATACTTATGTTCAGTTCAGTATACTTAAGTTGAGTTGAGTATATTTAAGTTCAGCTCAGTATACTTAAGTTCTTATTCAGTATACTTACAACTTCAGTATACTTAAGTTCAGTTAAGTATACTTAAGTTCAGTATACTTACTTGAGTTCAATGTACTTAAGTTCAGGTCAGTATACTTAAGTTCTTATTCAGTATACTTAAGTATTTATATTATTATTGTATCTAATTTTGACGACCTTTAATTATAAAACAACTGTGTCTTCCAGTTAGGTAGATAAATTAGGGATGTGAAAAGCCTCATAAAAACCGGAAGCAAATAAAGAATATCTAACACCAGGAGAGACAATATCCGGCCGCAGATTTAACTCGAGAAACAATTCAATTTCCTCAGAAAAATCTCATCCGATAAAACGCTATCCTTAGAAAATTACTTTGTAACATTTGGGTCTTCAGATACAGTTAAACGCTACAAAATGTCGAACTTCTAAAATGAGTTAAATTCATTCTATTATAAAATTAGTATACTCTGATCGCGTTTGAAAAAAAAATTATATGTATTTTGATATTAAAACATGTGTTAAAATATATTCAATCAAAATTGTAAATCTATTATTAAGAAGATAGTGAAATATTTCTTAAATTGTCCTTAAAAGTATAAAATAAATATAACAAAAGTCAGTGTGATAAACTTTAGTGCTTTAGTTTTAAGCATTAAATGCTGATCCCGGTGCATGCACCAAAATATTGAATTATATGAAATCATAAAAAAAGGGAAAAATGTAATAATTTTTGTAATATTAAGAACTTTATTCGGAAAGCTTTCATAAATGTTTACACGTGGTCGTCGAGTTTAGGCAACCAACATTACAGGATTGGTACTGCCAACTAAAAATCCCTAAATGTTAGTGTCATTAATATTTATGATTCATGTACGCTCAAGATAATACGATCAACGATTGGTTGTATAAAATATCGTATTGATATTATGACGGAAAAGAAAATTTAGAAAATATTCCTAAACATTGTTCCTTTTATTGCCTGAACTTCTTTCTCATCCACCTTAACTAACAAATTGTTTCCACCCATATTGTTACAAGGCCAACTTTACAAAAGAAGCAGTGGTAAAATGTGTCAAGATTATTAAGGGTGCTGAAAGAAACTCGGGACGGCATTGTTTTGTTTTTTACCTAATTTAGAATCTCACTGCTTAAAAGTTTATGAAAGTACGATGGAAGAATCCTTAATAAAACGAAAATTTCCATAAAGCTGGGTTGAGAATTATGCATATTTAAAATAATAGTCATCTCGTTTTCAATATACAAGTCACAACAAATTAAGACTTCATAATTTGGGTATAACTTTCTTGTTCTTGAAGTTAAGAACTTGATTAAATTAGCAAAGTTGCGTGCTGTTGATTGTAATCTTTGAATCATTTTAACAAGAGAAGGATATAGTCAAAGTACTGACAAATATAGGTAGTACGTAGGTAATTTAATTGTATATTATGGGGGGATAAACTATTTAAAATGAAAAAAAAAACAGCCCTATTTCCTCCAGGTTCTTAAAAATTCTTTTTAAATTTTCTTCAGTAATGTATAAGTGTGCAATGTGCATAATATATAAATATAAGTCAATGAGAATGAAATTTGGATATCCTGGCGGACATTTTTTTACAAGTTAAGTGAATTGAATTTAAAAGTTAACTAACTTCAATATGCCTTTATATCTAAATTTCTTCAAGTAATAAAATTGTTACTTTAAAACCTTTACAAGCACGTCGTGTTTTGCTGAGTATTTGAAAAATATATATTTTTTAAAAGTTTATGACATTATTAGAGATCGGAAATGTAATTTTATTCAAACAAAAAGCGACACAACCGTTGCCTTTTGTTATAACTGCACTCTACATTACAAGAATATATGATCTGAAGCCTCGCATCGATCAATTTATTCGATACGTATCTAGCGACACCCTAAGGCAATCCAGGTTTTTTGCCGAGAGGCGGCAGCCGTGCATTTCATTGTCGATGATCGAGTGTATGGCACGTGTTTTTATGACAATCAGATTTTCTATTTCTACTTCTGTTACTACAACGCTATATTGTAAGTATTAAAACGACGTTAAAAGTTCAAAAACATCTACTATTCTACAAGAACTGACATCCGTTGTGATCGCCTCACTGCATTCCACGTTAGGTGTACCGCAAGCTTAGCAGACCTTTTACATATCACCATAAATTCTGCTATACAATGGCAACCTTTTATGGAGATCACCGAGTTGAGAACCTCATGTTGTTCGGTGCTTGCTATAAAACAGAAAAACACTTTCCATAAGAGCATTTCAGCTGGGGAATTCAGCGCGATTCGTTCATTCAAATGGAAAACATCACCAGGGACCGTCTTTAATTGTGCAACGTTTCGCCAATTTCCCGCAGGAAAAGCCGTTCGTTTTGTTTTTGTCGGTGGTACTAGTTTGTTACATTGGAATGGTTTTAGAATAACCCTTGCGGGATGTTTTTCTTGACATGTAATTGTGTTTTGTAAAATGTTTGCCTTTACCCTCAGTTGTACCGGGCGTCCCCGAAATGTTAGGATATCGCTACAGACACCAAAATAAGATGATTTAGGCACATAAACAAATGCTGTGCTACCGTGATACAACAGTTTTAATACTACTCTAAAACGGATTTAGCTAGACTTTTCATTTGATACATTCTTTGTTTATATTTATTTGGATATTTTATAACCATTTCAATTTCATTACGGAAATAATGACATAAAAAAACAACACTCACTAAATAAATTATAAAGAGAGGGTAAAATGTATGTAGTATTTAAATATTGACTGTAAATAATAGAAGGAAGACTTATAATGTATATTCCATAAAAAAACAATCGGATGGAGACAAGTAAATAACTCGGTACGTGTTTCCGACCTAGGCTAACCTGTGCAGGTCACTAACGTTCTAACCCACTTTTGACTTGCACGTGCACTATATGACTGTAGTAGGATCGTATTCGATGCAAAGTAGATCAAAAAGTTGTCGGTCTTTTATCAAAGGAAAACCGTGTCATCACTTTTAGAAAGCGTAAGATGACCCATTTCAAATTTAAAATGAAATTGAATGTAAAATCTGAAATACCGTTGCATACACACTGTGTTCTGGTAGTAGCTGTAGTCGCCCATGTGCATCGAGTGTACGAAGTGGTCGGTTATACGTCAAATACTAACCTAGCGAGATTGGTTGTAAATCAGAGAGCGCCTACAAAAAACAAGTAAACAATATTGGCGCGTACAAAAGTTAAATGTAGTACATATGTGGAATTTAAAAAACAAATTGGATTTGTAATAAATTACATTTAAAATAAATTGTTTATGAGAATAAAGGAAGTTTTGTAGGAACAAGGGTGCCAGACGTGAACTGATCCTTCGTCCCTTCATAATGTATAAAGAAATTATTCAATTTATAAAACTCTTAAAAGAGTATTGCACTGGATCCCTTGACAGGCAACAAGTAAAACAGCATTCATCCGTTCAGAGCACTTTATTAATAGTTAGGTTCTGCTGCACTTCGATTTAGGAACCAATTGCAAAATTCAAGACGATTGGGGAAATCACTTTTTGAAAATGGTACGGATTGAGTGAATTCTCGCGCAATATCCGCCAAACTTTGATTTGTGATATCTCTAATCGTCTTGAATATTGTTCTTGTGGAAATAGTAGGCTAAAATAGTAGGCTCGACTAAATTTAAAACAGCCTCTATCACATTTAAGTCATTTTGTCGATGTCCTGCACGTTCTCTGCGCGGTATGATAGACCTCGTGTCACGTTGGACGGCTTGCACAATTGTCCGCGGGCTTGGGAAGTTCTGTCTGTTAAGAAAACGTCTTCGATATTTAATCGCAACGGCATTTGCGTTCTGTACACTCTCTCTGTATAAAATCACAATATCCACATATTCGGCATTCGTATACAAAGCCATCACGACCGACACTTTAAACAATCCGAAATAAACTAACGGTTTCGTGTATCTTTCAAATCCACATCCCCTCTTCATCTATATGGTGTGAACTTCACTCCTTTGCGGGAAAAATGCGGGAGATATGAAGGGTGGTAGATTTGAATAAACGCTTTAAAATGTTAATGGTTTTGTAACCGCGTGTAGTGTATTTTGTATATTCGGGTATTTAGTGTGCCGACTTTTTTTAACGAAAGTTGACTTCGAGAAGTTATTTATAATAAAATGCAGTATGCTCCTTTATTTACTTACTTTATTTACTTTATTGATTACAAAATTTTTCGAGTCGAGTGAAAATTTTGTTTCCGATTTTCCGTCTTTATTAGGCCTTCCAAATAAGTGGTTAAAATTAATGACATTA